TGTAATTTTTAGGAATAACTCACTAAAATCTGTCCGAACAAGAGTCTAGTAGGATAAAACTTGAAACACGAAATCATAAATTATAATTTAATAAATAATCATTAAAAATAATAATATAATAATAATACATTTAATTCAATAATATAATCAAACCAAAAACACTGAAATTTGAAATAGAGCACCAAGTTCGCACATCACTGAGCAAAGTCGCAAAATCGTTTTCAGTGTCTGATGACGAATTTCCCCACAAATCATTATCACTCATTTCTGCAAGTGGTTCTGATTTACTATCGCTGTTCTCTAGCTGGTCTAAAACCGCTTTTTACCTAAAGGGACACTTTTTGGACACCATGGACATTTCTCAGTTTCCAGGCAGAAAGAACAGTAAAAATGCAGGCAGGGCACAGTAATGATACTGATAGTAATGATAATGATACAGTAATGTTATACTATGTGCTTTTAGTGATTTTTGTGAATGTCACTTTTTGTCATTTTCAAATTTCCTGCCGTTCCATCCCCCATACGTCCCAACGCTCGCAGGGGACGGAACCCAGATGACAGATGCCAGCATCCGCTGGATTACATTGCCGGGGACACTGCAGGAGAGACATCGCGGGAGCGCAGGACAAGGTAAGTGATCAAGGGATCCCGGAGCAGCGCTGCATGGTATTCCTGAGTGTAGCTCGGGGTTACCGCTTGTGGTACTGAAACTTTACCCCGAGCTACACTCGGGAATACCGCCAGGGAGGTTAAGGCTAGGCTCACGTATGTGCGGGTGGTGCCGCTGTGGATCCGCACAAAAATCCGTGCAGCCTCACCATCCGCACAGAAGAATGCGGACCTGCGGGCTGGGGCCATTAGTTCTAATGCTAATGGCATGCCGTCTGTGCTGGAAATCGCAACCGCACTGGAAACCAAGTTTCCAAAGAACTGCAGGGACTTCTTCCCTGCGTGTCCCGGGGAACAGGAGTCCATTCAAATAAATGGGCTCTTGTGCCCTCGCAAAACGTGGCCCGCAGGAACGCACATATGTGAACCAGGGCTTATTCTAATGACACGCCGCCCGCACTGGAAATCACAACCGTACTGTGAACCTCGGTTCCCGTGCGGGCCTCATTTTCCGAAGAAGTGCAGGGACTTCTTCTCTGCGTGTCCCGGGGCACGGGAGTCCATTCAAACGCAGCCCGCACGGCCGCAGATATGTGATCCAGGGGTCACACTGCTGCGAATTCTATGTGGATCATATGCGTTTATAAAAGCATAGATTTGCATGTAATGTCAAAAAAGCATTATTTCCAATGAGGCCTGTTCACATGCATGCGGTGCAAACTTAATGTGTTTCAAAAAAAGGGTCCTGTGTGGATTGTAGTGTGGGTGTGGTGCGAATTTCATCTGCTATGTCCAGCTCCCTCAGAAATTGCATTCAATTAGAACCTGTCACAGCAGGAATCGCACTGTGATACCTCACTCGGAAACTGCATCAGGTTCGCACCGCATGTGAACCGGTGCTTAAGTGGTGCTGCAGCTTACAGGATTTATGCCTTTTTTCTATTCAGGCAATTTCTTGGATTTTTTTTTCAAGTGTTACATTGTTGGTATTGCTTATTATTTCTTATACAGAAACCGTGCTCACGTCCACTGTGCTGTACGCTATATACGTGCATTATACGTATACATATACGTGCTCCGCTGTATAAATTGTGTTGTACATTATATACTCAGTGCTCAGCTGAAAGAGCTGTGTGTGATGTAATCCACACATCTTGGTTGTACATATTGTGCAGTGTATTTTTATATTTCACACTGCTTTACTATATAAATCATCTTTACATTACGGTATATAATCCTCATTGTGCTCTTCTTTATTACCGTAAGTCTACACTGCACAGTGTTAGACATAATGATGTACATCTTACATTCTCTGCTTTTGTCAGCTGTATACACTGTACTTTGCATTATATAGTCCACGGTTCCGAACTACATAAACTATATGTTATAAACCTCAAAGTACTTTGTTGTATATATTTTATTTATTTATTACAGGTACTTATATAGTGTTAGTGTAGCGCTTTACGTACATATTGTACATTTACATCAGTCCCTACCCTTAAGGGGCATACAATTTATGGTCCCTAACTCACATTCATACACATACAGGGGCCAGTTTAGACAGGAACCAATTAACCTGCCAGCATGTGCTTTGGAGTGTGAGAGGAAACCCACACAGGCGCAGGGAGAACATGCATACTCCAGGCAGGTGGTGCCGTGACTGGGATTCAAATTAACGACCCTAGTACTGCCAGGCAGAAGTGCTAACCATTTAGCTACTGTGCTGCCCATATATTTTACCGTGTATAGCACATCTGATGTACAGGGGTTGGACAAAAATATGTAAACACTACATGATTTGTAGGTGTGAAAGTGACAACGTGTTTCGTGTTGAAAGCGGAAGTGATGTAACATTTTTTTGCTTCCGCTGTGTGATAAGACACCTAGCTAACAGGTGGGAAGCCTCACTTTTGATGTGCACTGTTAGTAATATGGAGTCATGTCAGAGCTTACTGAGTTTCAAAGAGGGTAAATTGTTGGTGCCCACTTAGCTGGTGCCTCTGGGACTGAAGTTGCCAATTTATTTGCCATGTCACAAGGTACAGTATCAAAGGTTATGACAGCATATGCTTATCAGATGACATTTTCCTGGAAACTGTATAAGCACGGTCGACATGGTCAACTGACCAAAACAGTCAAAAGAACATTAGGCAGGATTGTGACCTGGAATAAGAAAACAACTGCTGCAAAAGTGACAGCAGAGCTCAATCTCATTCTTCCAAAGCCCATGTCCACAAAAACTGTGTGGAGGGAACCACTAGTGACTGGTATTAATGCTCAGAAGAAGAGAGAGTGGTGCAACACCCATAAATCATGGACTATCGATCAATGGAAGACTGTAATATTGGCTGATGAATCAAGCTTCACACCGTCCCAAGCTTACGACCAGGACAAAGCATGGTGGCGGTGCAATCATGGTTTGGGCTGCCATATCTTGGTATTCTGCAGGCCCCATCATCACCTTGGAAGATAGTGTCACTGTCAGCAATACATTTTGGCTGACCATGTGCACCCTATGGAGCAGAAATTGTTTCCCGAAGACAGCGCCATTTACCAAGATGATAATGCTCTGATTCACACAGCTGGTGTGTTGTCAAATCGTGGTTTGAAGAGCATGCAGACAAAGTCTCGCACCTTCTCTGGGTGACTCAGTTGATGGACCTCAATATCATATAGCCACTATAGTCAGTTTGGGAGAACAAGGTTCAGGCTAGTTGGCATCTCTGCAAGAGCTGAAACGATTTTTGTATGAAGAATGTTATCAGATTCCATTATCCACCATCCAAAACTTATATTTGTCAATTCCCAGGAGAATTCTGGCTGTCTTGGATGGCAAAGGTGGTCCAACACCATAGTAGGTAATGATTTTGTTTTTTTACCTGGTATTTCCATATTTTTGTCCAACCACTGTACACTATTTGCTCTAAATTCAACATATACTGTGTGTATACAGTATATATATATATATATATATATATATATATATATTATTTTTTTTTTTTTACCCTTTATATTCTACCCATTCCAAACCACCAGATACAGGTTTCTTTGATCATCGTGAACACCCCCCCCCCCCCTTTGAGCACAGAAGGAGCATAGTTTTGCTTGTTATTATTCCCAAAATGTTGTTTTTGCTTTTGTATAGTCATTTATCAATAGAACATTCACTATTTCTATCAATGTTTTATGTCCCTGTACAACTTGTGCTGTAAGTTTACTTTTTCCATTATTTTGGGGAAGGGTTAGACCCTCTGTCAAGTTTTTGTTGCTATAAAAGAAATCAAACATACCTTTCTATCTTGCGAGAAAAAAAATAAAAACTTTTCCAAGTATCATCACACTAAAAAAACAACCTACACTTCAGCAATTTGTTTTAAAGTTTTTATTGCTGTCTGTGTCCCCATTGGGGAGATTTCTATTTGTGCTCAGAAAGTATCACTGAGAAAGAAAATGAAGGTAAATCCAAGATTTTGGAGTTGCCCACAGAACAAAAGCACAGGTACAAGGGGCAGCTGACTAAGAGGGGAATTCCTGTGTCTCTGGGACAGGAATTAAAGGGAGATTTTCCCAATGGTGCACAGTCAGCAAAAAATATCAGCAAATGTACCACTTCCCTACTCAATGCAAAATGAAAAAAAAAGTTTTGACTATATACACACTTAGTTTAGTCTTTAGACTTTAGTCTAGGTTCACACTCACGCGGTGCGGCATATCACATGTGATTCGCACAGGAACAGCACCGCATTCCTGTGAAAATCAGATACGAATTCTGTGAGGTGCGATTCGAGCCATATATTTTGTATGGGTCAAATCGCACCGCATCCGCACCAATAAGGTGCAGGACCCTTTCTATGACCCGCACTAGAATCAGATCGCATGGGTATTCACACCCATGTGATCTCATTCTGCACATCTCACTGTGTTTTGCGAACCGATTTTGGGGTGTTCTTAACACAACATACACACCCGCGGCGGTTCACATGAATGGGGTGCGATCGTGAAGTGGTGCGGAATTCGCACAGAAACCTCTGCGAATTCCGCAACGCATCAGAGTGAACCCAGGCTTAATCTGAAATCTAACTGGTATCTGCATTACAGTTCATCAGTAGTAATTGCACCATGTCATTAAATAAAATGATTAGTTTTCATTAATAAAATAGCACAAAGTATTATAAGTGTGCAAAGTAGTTTAAAGATAATGAATTAGGTTTCATCCTATTTCTCGCTGTAAACTGAAATTGGATTAGTTGCTATAGGTTATGTACCTGATTGTGAAATAAGCCTCTTTGTATAAGCTATATAATAAAATATACTGTATATATGACTAATATGTTCTGTTGACATCATGGGATGATCAGTGAACCTTTTCATAAACCCTTTATTCTTTGTAGGTTCTGCGGAGTCATGTCATGGTGCGTGTTGGGGGAGGATGGGACACCCTAGAACACTATCTGGACAAACATGATCCCTGCAGGTGTCAGTTTGTTTGTAAGTATCATGCCAATAAAACCTTATATACAGTAAGCCTTTCTTAGGAGCCTAAAGCAGTAGGTTACAAAACATGTTGTTTTCCCCATAAGTATTTTCATTACTTTTCAAAAGTACAACATTCCAAAAGAGATCCTATACATAGCAGCACATGGATGAGTGTATAGGTTAGTAAGGCATAGAATCACATCCAATCACAGCTGATCACGTGTTAACAGGAAATGACGGTTATTGGCAGTCCTCTCCTCATGCTGAGAGTGCGTGAGGAGAGAAGAGCCGGTAAGCCGCATTCCTCAGAGGGAACGTCTAATCAGGGCACTGATTCCCCATTAGTGCTGCCTTTCAGTGCCCATCATTTCCGCCGATCAGTGCCGCCTATCAGTGCCACAAATCAGTGCCCATCAGAGCTGCCTTTCAGTGCTCATTAGTGATGCCTGTCAATGCCCATCAGTGTCACCTATCAGTGCATCCTCATCAATGCAGTCCATCAGTACCACCTATCAGTGCGACCTATCAATGCCAGTCTGTGTGCCTATCAGTGCCCATCAGTGCCACCTATCACTGCCACATATTAGTGCCCAGCAGTGTCGCCTGTCAATGCCCATCAGTGCTGCCTACCAGTGCCTCCTCATCAGTGCAGTCTATCAGTACCCATCAGTGCCACCTAGCAGTGCCAGTCAGTGCCGCCTATCAGTGCCCATCAGTGCTGTCTTTCAGTGCCCATCAATGATGCCTGTCAGTACCCATCAGTGCCACCTATCAGTGGTATCTATCAGTTCTGTCTATCAGTGCCCATGAGTGCCGCCCCTATAAATACAGCCTCATCAGCACACATCAATGAAGGAGAAAAATTACCTATTTACAAAATTTTATAATAGAAACTAAGAAAAACTTTTTTTTTTCAAAATGTCTATTTTTAGTTTGTTTAGCAAAAAATAAAAATCCCAGTGGTGATTAAACACCACCAAATGAAACTCTGTCTCAAAAAAATTATAAAAATTTGGTTTGGGTACAATGTTGCATGACCACACAATTGCCATTCAAAGTGCGACAGCGCTGAAAGATGAAAATTGGCCTGGGCAGGAAGGGGGTGAAAGTGCCCTGTAGGCAAGTGGTTAAGCTCTTGTGACAAACTCATATGTGCATGTGCATCATCTCTTCAATACTTAGATGCCAGAAATGTATGTTAACTGCTCAGAACCCAGTAACCAGCTCATGTAAGTTAACCCCTATGCACCCAGTACCCAGTGGATGTGCTCTAACCTCTCAGCACCTACAGTGGGGATCGAAAGTTTGGGCACCCCAGCTAAAAATTTGTATTAATGTGCATAAAGAAGCCAAGGAAAGATGGAAAAATCTCCAAAAGGCATCAAATTACAGATTAGACATTCTTATAATATGTCAACAAAAGTTAGATTTTATTTCCATCATTTACACTTTCAAAATAACAGAAAACAAAAAAATGGCGTCTGCAAAAGTTTGGGCACCCTGCAAAGTTAATATCTTGTACTGCCCCCTTTGGCAAGTATCACAGCTTGTAAACGCTTTTTGTAGCCAGCCAAGAGTCTTTCAATTCTTGTTTGAAGTATCTTTGCCCATTCTTCCTTACAAAAGTCTTCCAGTTCTTTGAGATTTCTGGGCTGTCTGTCACGCACTGCTCTTTTAAGGTCTATCCATAGATTTTCAATTATGTTGAGGTCAGGAGATTGTGAAGGCCATGGCAAAACCTTCAGTTTACGCCTCTTGATGTAATCCCCCGTGGATTTCGAGGTGTGTTTAGGATCATTATCCATTTGTAGAAGCCATCCTCTCTTTAACTTCAGCTTTTTCACAGATGGCATCAAGTTACCATCCAAAATTTGCTGAAATTTTATTGAATCCATTTTTCCTTCTACTCGTGAGATGTTCCCTGTGCCACTGGCTGCAACACAACCCCAAAGCATGATTGATCCAACCCCATGCTTAACAGTTGGACAGAGGTTCTTTTCATTAAATTCTGTGCCCCTTCTTCTCCAAACGTACCTTTGCTCATTCCGGCCAAAAAGTTCAATTTTAACCTCATCGGTCCACAGAACTTGTTTCCAAAATGCATCAGGCTTGTCTATATGTTCATTTGCAAAGTTCAAACGATGATTTTTGTGATGAGGACGTAGAAGAGGTTTTCTTCTGATGACTCTTCCATGAAGACCATATTTGTACAAGTATCTCTTTATAGTGGAATAGTGTACCACAACTCCAGTGTCTGCCAGATCTTTCTGGAGGGATCGTGCAGTCAAACGTGGGTTTTGAATTGTTTTTCCCACAATCCTGCGAGCTGTTCTGTCTGATATTTTTCTTGGTCTTCCAGATGTTGCTTTAACTTCCACTGTTCCTGATGACTGCCATTTCTTAATTACATTCCGAACAGAGGATATTGACATCTGAAAATGCTTTGCTATCTTCTTATAGCCTTCTCCAGCTTTGTGAGCGTCAACTATTTTCAGTTTCAGTTTTCTAGACAACTGCTTAGAAGAACCCATGGTGCTGATTGTTGGGGCAAGGTCAGATGAGTCTGGGCATTTAAAACCTTTGAGATTGACATCATCTGGTCTTCCCAGACGATGATTGAGAACAATCCATGACACTGGCAGGTCTCAGCTTTGCAAAGGGGGCAGTGCATGCTATAAATTCTGCAGGGTGCCCAAACTTTTGCAGACGCCATTTTTTTGTTTTCTGTTATTTTGAAAGTGTAAATGATGGAAATAAAATCTAACTTTTGTTGACATATTATAAGAATGTCTAATCTGTAATGTGATGCCTTTTGGAGATTTTTCCATCTTTCCTTGGCTTCTTTATGCACATTAATACAAATTTTTAGCTGGGGTGCCCAAACTTTCAATCCCCACTGTATTCTTCTGCTTATATGCATTTACTTCTCAGCTGCCAGTACCCAGCAGATGTATAATAAACTCCCATGCCCAGGTCATGTGTGTTATCCCCTCCAGCACATGTGCCGAAAACTTTTTTTTCAGTGCAACACTACAAATATATTACCTACATTAATTGTCGCCTAGTGGAAATCTTAGCTGCTCCACTGCCCTCTTTCCTCGTTAAACAATCCACAGTAACAAAGCCCTACCTCCTTTCCCTGCCTCCATGAAACAGTCCCTGCTAATAACCTGATGAAATGCCTGTGTCTCCTTTTTCAACTTCTGTTTTCCTGAATTCAACGGGCACTGATTTCTTGTTTCAGATTTAGTATCCTCTCCACCACCTTCACAATCCGCTGGGCTGCTGACACAGTGCCCACCACCTACACTGTCCTAGAATAGCCTGTTTCAATTTTCACCAGCCCATTTCCTGAACGCTGATTTAACTTCTATTCCTGCTCTGTAAAGCCCTCTGTGTGAAGAGCTTGGCTCCCATGCTACTGCCCTGTAATTACTCAGTTTTGTAAATGGGTACCCAATGCATTACTATTATTATACAGGATTTATATAGTGCCAACAGTTTGCACAGCGCTTTACAATATAAAGGGAAACAGTACAATTACAATAAAGTTCAGTACAGAAGGAACAGGAGGGCCCTGTTCATGGAGCTTACAATCTAAGGGGAGGGGGAAGTGGTACAAACGGTGACAGCTGCAGGAGATGATCTGATGGAGGTGACTCAAGTACAGTTCTTAGACGGAGGTGGGTTCGTTTTCATAGATCGCCTAAATGCAGACAGGGTGGAGGCTGAGCGGACATACTGGGGTAGGGAGTTGCAGAGGATGGGAGAGGCTCTGGAGAAGTCCTGGAGGAGAGCGTGGGAGGAGGTGACAAGAGCAAGATGTCTTGGGAGGAGCAAAGCGGACAATTTGGACGATATCTGCGGATGAGGTTGGTGATGTAGCTAGGGGCAGTGTTGTGGATGACTTTAGTATCACTTTAAAAATACATTAGTGGAAATATACACGACTGTTGATGTCTTGACATGTTGTATGTGAGTAGCTTTGCCAAAATAAACAAACTTAATAATACATAGCATCCCTATAACTAAGTCAGAAGTGACAAAACGCGTCAGGGTGAGACTGTGTGGCGACTGAAAGTGACATTAGGGACCGGAACCAGAAGTGACGCGTGAGAGCCATTTTGTGGGGTCCGGCGGTGGTGAGAGCATATCCACATCTAATGTCATATAGATTATGAGCGTTTTTTTCTATTTTATTTGTGAGTGGATTTTTAAAACTATTCAATAAAGCAGAAAGTATTGGTTATTGTACCATTGGAGTATATATCTTACTTTTACATGGTCATGACATCTGGTGGAGAGGAGTAAGGAGAGTATGAAGCCATGGCGACACCATAATCGGAGATTTAAAAGCGATACATGCCAACCATGAGAGTAGTAGGCATGTGGGTTTGGTGAGTGCATACCCAAAAGGGAAGGCTATATTACGAGCACGTGGTGTTTTGGTTTGGGTATAATAGGAAGATTACAGCACTGGAAGTGACTTCTACATGCTATTATGGACTTTATGTTCACATTAATGGATTGATTTATATTATATGACTGTTTCATTTTATTTCATTTTGTCATTGTACAATGTGCTTTATTCACTAGTTGGTTACAGCGCCACTGGATTATTTGTGCTTATTTACATTAGTGATGTGTTAATAAATACAGTATATGTAATTGCATTAATGGATGTGACCAAAATATCTGCTTGGAGTTTTGCTTTAAAATGTTATTATGTTTCATATATGTCTGTTAGATGTGGTATGTATGCTGCATTATATGTTTCTTGAAGGTCATTGATTCATCAGTCACGTGTCTTCATCAGTTCTCATTTACTTCATAGCCCATCGTGTGCAGACATCACGTCCCACAACATTTTCCCCCCAACGAATGTCCAATGTTGCTCCTCCCCGCACCTCCAGCCCATCCCATGGACGCAGTTCTGAGGGCCTTCCCAGGAACGCTCAGAAGCCAGAGCCAAGCACTCCACGACGATCCACTCCAGCTCCCACTACTTCATTGAACAACACCTCCAAGACCCCATTATCTCAAAAGGAGCGTCCAGGAGTACATGGCATTAACTCATTCAGGTATGTCTTGCAACTGAACGCACTCACTGATTGCAAATTTACATTGGCATTGTTCAAGAGCTAGTTTCACCATGGCTTCTACAAATGAACATAAATGACCAGTTATGAAAGACACTTGTCAGATCTATATTTGTGATCTGATAACTGAGAAAGGTGGCCTATTCCTGTTCATGTAATGGCTCTCCTCTCATATACAGTTGCAAGAAAAAGTATGTGAACCCCTTGGGATTACATGGAGTTTTGCATGAATTGGGCATAAAATGTGCTCTGAACGTCATCTAAGTCACAACAATAGAAGAACACAGTCTGCTGAACATAATACTACACAAACATTAGATGTTGCCATGGTTTAATTGCACATAACATGTAAACATTCACAGTGCAGGGAGGAAAAAGTATGTGAACCTTTGGACTTAATACTTGGTTGACCCTCCTTTGGCAGCAATAACCTCAACCAAACGTTTCCTGTAGTTGCAGATCAGACCTGCACAACGATCTGGAGTAATTTTGGACCACTCCTCACAAAAAACCGTTTCAGTGTAGCAATATTCTTGGGATGTCTGGTGTGAATCGCTCTCTTAAGGTCATGCCACAGCATTTCAATCGGGTTGAGGTCAGGACTCTGACTGGGCACCTCCAGAAGGCGTATTCTGTGCTGTTGCAGTCATTGTTTTGTTGAATTACTTGTATGCTGTGGGTCATTGTCCTGTTGCATCACCCAACCTCTGCGGAGCTTCAGTTGGCGGACAGATGGTCTTACGTTTTCCTGCAAAATGTCTTGATAAACTCTGGAATTCATTTACCCATCAATGACAACAATCCGTCCAGGCCCTGAGGCAGCAAAGCAGCCCCAAACCAGGATGCTCTGTCCGCCATGTTTTACAGTGGGGATGAGGTTTTGATGTTGGTGTGCTGTGCCTTTTTTTCTCCACACATAGTGTTGTGTGTTCTTCCCAAACAACTCAATCTTGGTTTCATCTGTCCACAGTATATTTTGCCAGTAGTGCTGTGGAACATCCAGGTGCTCTTTTGCAAACTTCAAACATGCTGCAATATTCTTTTTGGACAGCAATGGCTTCCTCCGTGGTGTCCTCCCATGTACTCCATTCTTGTTTAATGTTTTCCTTATTGTAGATGTGTCAACAAAAATGTTAGCATGTGCCAGAGATTTCTGTAGGTCTTTAGCTGACACTCTGGGATTCTTCTTTACCTCATGCAGCATTCTGCGCTGTGCTCTTGCAGTCATTTTTACAGGATGACCACGCCTAGGGAGAGTAGCAACAGCTAAACTTTCTCCATTTGTAGACAGTCTGTCTTACCGTGGACACATGAACATCAAGGCTTTTGGAGATACTTTTGTAACCCTTTCCAGCTTCATGCAAGTCAACAATTCTTGATCGTAGGTCTTCTGAGAGCTCTTTTCTGCGAGGCATGGTTCACATCAGACAGTGCTTCTTGAAACCAGTAAACCCAAAACAGGTGTGTGTTTTTTAAGGGCAGGACAGCTGTCAGCAACACATCCAATATCATCACACTGATTGGAGTCAAGGTTGGCTCACTCCTGGCTCCAATTAGCTCTGGAAGAAGTCATTAAGCTAGTGCCTCAAATACTTTTTCCTCCCTGTACTGTAAATGTTTACATGTTATGTGCAATTAAACCATGGCAACATCTAATGTTTGTGTAGTATTATGTTCAGCAGACTGTGTTCTTCTATTGTTGTGACTTAGATGACGTTCAGAGCACATTTTATGCCCAATTCATGCAAAACTCCACGTAATCCCAAGGGGTTCACATACTTTTTCTTGCAACTGTAGTTGTTATTTCTCAGAAAGGTGATTCATTGTGGGGTTGAAGTGAAAGAAATTCACTCTTTCCACTGTTGCAGTAGATTTTCCATAGAAGTATATAAAGAACTGACAAAGGCTAAATGATGCAACTTCCCAGATACCTGACCAAACTCTATCACAGTGCAGATGGCTCTTTTTCGGGATCATGAAGAGTCTAAGCTACCTGATAGGCATCAGACTTTGGACTGAGCTGATTTTTAAAGAATAAGTGCACTATTATTTAAAAATAGTAACTGATATGTGGCTACTCATAGCTGGTTCATACTGTATATGCTCAGCAATTTTATTATCATTCATCCTAAGCTTTTCTAAAAAGGTCAGTTGCTTGCAGCTGAACAGTTAAAACTCAAAAGTCTGGTAAAGATAATTAGTTCAATTGTGGCTTACCTATCACACAGCTGTGTCTCTTTCCATGCTTAGGTGACCCTGTGCTGTCTAACATTCATGAAAAGGTGGCCATTCTGCACACCAGTGAGTAAGGTGACTGGTCACCTCAATGCCTTCCCGTATTTCTGTTGAGGCAGCACTGACGTACATCATCACATCAAGGTTGCCTGCAGTGAGTGGAGGCCAGGAGCATGGAGCTCATTTCCTAGCTGGGGGACATTGGATCTTGGTTCTTTCAGTCATAGAGGCTCAGCATTGCAAAGCATGATGTGCCTGCATTATATAGAGAAGCAGAAAGACCTAATGAAGATGTTTTTGTGTCTAAAATAAAGTTTATAATGAAAACGGAAGGGTTTTATGTAATCATTTCATTGGCATGAGGGTATACATGCCATATACTCATGTATACGCATGCACACATGCATATATTGCAACACTGGCAACTAGAAGAGGATGAAGAAAAATGCAAGTTTACGTGCTTTATGGAACATTTTACTCAGGATCTCACTGTCAACAATATTCTGAGTATAAGGCTGTGTTCACATGGCTGTAAAAAAAAGCACATTTACAAGCATTTTTTTTTTTAATTTACAGATCTGAACGCAGGTGCATTGTATAAACAGGGGCCTAAACAAACTCTGCCTTCAGATCCATAACATATAAATCCACAAATCTGTGTCTGAGGACATACATATACACGTATGCCAGATGCAGTTATTGGGGGAAAAAAAGGAAAATTTTATGTAAATATTTAGTGAACGTTACGCAAGAACTTTTGTGCTAGGAAAAAACGTGTGTAATAAGAGCAGTCAAGTTTTTACACCCATGTGAATGTAGCCTAAACATCAGTAATTTATTATGTTCATGTGCAAGAGGGCTAAAGTTTCATTCATGTGGCCATAAAAAAGGCATTTATGAGCGTTTTTTATTAACGAATCTGAACACACCTGCATTGTTTGCAATGGAGTCATTCACACAGGTGTGTAAGCATTTTTTATCTAGGGGTTTGGTAAGCGGAGATATACTTAGCTAATCTGCCGATCCTCCAAGCACAAAAACGGACCCCACCACTCCTGTCCCCCCAAATGCTAGCGGTCTTCCTGACCATCATCACGCCCATAGACTGGCTCCGGATATGAGGATGGCAGGAACAGTCCACCACTGGACTTGGGGGAGCGTGGTTTTCCGGAGTAAGTATAGCTTAACCCTGATCTCCTGGACAAAATGAGCAGTGAACCCATGCAGTGCGGGCACAGCCCCACTGAATGGGAAACTGAAGTTCTGCTTTAATAATCATCAGCTAGGTAATTTAAACAGTCAGGGCATTGATTATCTTGGAAGAGTTCACTGAGGGAAAAGAAAAAAGGAAAAGAGTTGTAACACTATATGGGAACACCATAAAAGTAAAGCTCTCACTGGTCTACCCTAAACAAGTACAAAGCAGAGCAGGAGGACTATAGATAGAAGCCTGGGTCCTTCAGTCATGTTTAATATCTGTGAGTAAAATGGGCTATCATCTGTGAGTGTTGTGTTCCCATCACTGTATCTGACTGCAATAAGCTCATTCTACTGCCTGTCTTCAGTACCTGGCCAGATGTTAGCTTCTGTACTCATCACAGGTGATCCTTTAGTGCAGTGGTCTCCAAACTGCGGCCGGGGGCCTGATGCTGCTCTTTGCTCACCTTTATCTGGCCCTTGAAGCCTTATTTCTACCACTGACACCAACAATTGGGCATAATTCCTTCCACTGACACCAACAATCAGGCACTATCCCTCCTACTGACACCAACGATGGGGCACTATTTTCCCCTAATAACAAAGATGGGACATTGTTTGCTCCCAGTGAGCATAGTCCGGCTCCCCTAAAATCTGAACGACAGTAAACTGGCCCTTTGAAAGTTTGGACTTTAGTGTATTACCCTACATTATAAGTAGGCAAAAAGCTATATTTTAACACTTGCTTGATTTCCTTGGACATTTTAAAGAAGATGAAGTACAGTATGTCAAAATGCACTTATTCTTTAAATGAAGCACTCATAACAACCACAGTAGAAGCCACACTCCTTATTTGCAGTAAATGTAATGATAATAATCATAATGTGTTTCTGTAGTTTTAAAGGCATATTTTTTTAATAATGATTCCAGAATGTCAGAAGGCATCCACATTAACAGAACATGATCACAAGGAAACATTGGTTCCAGCAGAAATATTAGATAATGCAAGCCTTATGGAGAGTCAGCTGCTGCTCAAGACTACTGACAGGAATAAACATTAATAGAAAGAGAACTGCTGACCTCTTGACAATGGCCATGTCATTTCAACTTGCTTTTAATAATTAGCTTACTATTTTACAAAGATTATGAAGTTTTTTTTACTAACAAGGACATTTTGTGTATGTACAAAGGTCATTATCATTATTAATCATTTATTCATTCTTGCCTTTGCTGCAACAAATGGGAATGTGTTAAAAGTTAAGATGTACTTCAATTTAATAGTTATCTTATCAGATGGACAGCACATTTGCAGCCATATTTACCATCCTACCATGTGCTACAGTGTACGGTGCTATCTGGACCAGCAGAAATGTGCCTGTTTCCTGAATGATATCAGAAAGATGAATGAAAACCTGCTTGGCACAAGAAAATCATGTATAAACTGACTTTTTAAAAGCTTTGTATTTTCTATGTTTTTCCTTGGTAATCTCCTTGTGCCCCAAACCCTAGCTCAGAAGCACCTTACCTATAGGGTTGCCACCTCATCTCTTTAAAACTGAACACATATTACTTACACAGGTCCTGTGGTTGATTAAAGTGGTAATTAAACCCACTTAGTGCCTAATTTGCATTAAATTAGCCTCATAACATGTGTAATTAATATGTGTTCAGTTTTAAAGGGATGAGGTGGCAACCCCACTTACCTACCATTAATTCCATGTTCCTCATCACTTTCATCAGTAGGGTCCCTGCACATACCACTGCTCCTACCCAGATTCAAATTAGTAACGCAGAAAATAACTAAATATCTCTTGTACAGCCATAACATTTCATCTACTCCTTCTGCCCTTGCCCCTCTGCTGGGGTCCCAGTCCCTCTAACTAGGCTTTCAAGATTCCCAATTCAAATACCTTTGTAAAAGGGGAATCTTCATTTCTCTTCTGACTGTAAATTTGTAGACTATGAAAGCCTTTGTGACTGTTTCCACCAAGACCTAAACTCATGAAGAAACCTAAAAATGAGTCATTACTATGAATGGAGATACAGGCTGAAAGCTGCAGAGCGTGTCTTCAGAAGAATTACATTGCACCCGACCTACTGATCATGGATGCAATGCTTTCCAGGCTTCTGCAGGAAAAAATGATAAATGCACATTTTTTCCTGCAAAAAATATGTGCATTTATTATTATTTCTAGACAGGTGAACTTATCATTGAATGACTCACCTGAATACCACTCCTCCCAGGGCTATACCCCTCCAGGAGAAATTGTACCAACCACCCTGAACAGCCCCAGCAACACACTTGGTCCTCTCAAGTCTGTTTGCAGCAGCTCAGGTGACTATATTTAGCAGGGCCACTTACATGCACCCTGCAAAATGTTTTCACAATAATGTCTTATGATATCAAAAATTCTGAAACTAGTCATGCTATCTGATATTTTTTGAATGTGTGCAGTATATACTATGTATTTATCTCTGATAAATTTGCAGTTGTGTGTAATACAAACTTTTCTTTGGTAACTTTAACTTTCTGTCATATTTTGCTTTTCTTGCTAAATTCTATCATTGCATATTTCCTGTTAATTTACTTTCTGTCTTTGCTACATCTCACTCCTTCCTTCTGTCTCAGGCCTCCTCGTTCCCGACGCTATTCTGGTGACAGTGACTCTTCTGCCTCCTCTGTCCAGAGTGCCCCAGCAGGCAGAAAATCATCCGAAGTGTTAAGACCAGGATTTCGTGCTTCAGTAACACGCAGTCAGTCCCAGGACCGCGGTCCTCTTTCCCGGCGAACTCAGGTATCCCAGCCTGCAGTGTCTGATCGAGGCAGAACCCAAGGTATTTCAAGTACTGGACCTTCAACAAGGCGTGCCCGAAGTCAAGGGCCCTCAAGTAACAAGAAGACAGTTTTGATGATCACACGGGATAAAGATGGACAACATTCATTGACAACTCCTAATGCTTCCAAGCCCCCTATTACTTGTCCTCAAACGGAGCCTCCCAAAACAAATGCAAGAAGACAGCTGGGATACACTTCACAGCCTCTGAATGCTTGTCAGGAACAACAAATGTATCGTAGCTTGGAGAAAGAGTTCCTTGAAAACACAAGACTCCTTGGGACTTCAGAGAATGCTGGAGGAGCACAGGGAGCCATCTTGCTAAGTCCACCATCTTGTGAGCCAGCTGCTATAGACTCTGCATACTGTTCTTCTAGTTCATCTTCTTCCTCACTCAACTTCTATATCAGTGGAGGCGGAAGAGAGCAGAATGCAGAGGGGAGCCATGTAGCGCTTCCTGCATCTACTTGGAGAAGACTTCCTGCTCTGTCCAGCTCTTCAGATGATAGCTCCTGCCCACCTGCTTCTGAGGACCTTCAGGAGGAAGTGGAGCCAGAAGAGCCTTCTGAGGCAGCTGAAGCAGATTCTAGTGGGGTGGTCTTGCGACCAAAAAAATCCCTGAAACGCCCAGATAGAGTACCTTCCATCTATAAACTCAAACTGCGCCCAAAGATCCGCCCACGGATAGACACTCAACCAGACAGGTCACCATCTCGAATCCCCACCCCACTTAATTATAGAACTGCAAACTCTCTCCCCTAAGCCTGCACCCACTCGACGTTCCTGGAGAGCCCTTCAGTCTGTTTTTTTTTTCTGATTCAGGAGTACAAGCAGATCATCCTGGTGGCTGAGTCGAGTCTTTGGTATAGTTGTGCACACTCTATTCTGATACATGCAATTCACCGGTGATTAATATACTGAAAATTATGCTTTAGTCCTAAAGATGTTAGAATTGAGGGTAACATAAACAGGGCTATTCATGAAACTGCACCAATTATAGGCTACACTTTGCACATGAATGCTGAACAGTGCAAGCATGACCACACATCCATACTCTATAGAATATTACAGAATGTGCATGCATGCACTTGTTGCAAGTGTAAGGAACAAAAATCATTTTCTCTTCATTCCTGCTGTTGGATAAAGCCATTGAACCTGTTAAATGCTTGCAGAGAAGCCCAACATCCCAGGTTGTTACCATTACTCAGGATAGAATGCTCTTTATTTTGATATACCACTCTAGGCAATCAAGGTTTCTGAACTGTCCCCTTTATACAGTGGAGCAGTTATCTAGCAAATAGTGTTCAACCCTATAAAATGACCATGGCCATTACATGGGCTTGGGAAATATGTTTATCTTTGCTGCTGATGACCCTCCAGAAGATATTAAATTCCTACTTCATGGCTCTCTGTGATATACATTCCAAGCCTGCTGTATATACTGTCTAAGAACACTGTCACTGCTGTATGTACTGTTAATAATTTCTCAGGAAACAAACTAGCAGTCACAATATCAGCATAGTTTTACAGTCAAAAGATATTAATAATATCTAATTTGCCATGTAACTTTTCTGTATGGCTTAGCTAGGTTATAAGGGGAAGATAACTGAAAAACATTGTTTTTTTGGGAAAACGTGTCCATCCTGAATTTCCTAACACAGGCATTTAAAGAATAAATCCTTTCCCAAAGAGATGATAGTTTATTTGCAAACCATCAAAGCAGGTAAATTCATACAGTAGCTTAATCCAATAATTGGCTGTCATAAATATTACAAATTGAATCCAAACTAAAACAACGCACCAATGCACTTATACACTCCTTAGAAATAATTACATTTCTTTTTATATACACTACTAGCATAAGCACTTGAATTTGACTTGGTATCAGTTCCTTGTATTCCTCAAAACAATTGAACAGATTAGGAAGGGTAGCACCAAGAGCCAGTCAGATGTGCTGCTGTGCACATTTGTTGGCAATTAATATTCTGATTGGATGACCCGACAAAGTGATCAGAGGGTTAAGCTGTTGATCTTCCTGTAGTGTCCAATCACAGACTGGGGGCAGGGTGGCAATATTCTTGCGTTTGTTAGCTGCAGTATTAAAAAATCAAGTCACCAATGTGGTTGTCTGATAGGGCTTTGTAAATCTCAGGACTGAATAGTAGAAAACAGATCCTTTGGAAGGAAAAAGGAGCTGTTGTGTACTGTATGTATTTAGGCTGTATAGCTGTTTTCCTGAAGTCCAGTTTTTAAAAAATGACATGGTAAGAAGGGTGAATTGTAAAAAATGAGTTGATATAAAAGAGAGACAGAAAGAAGGTGTTTCATGGATAAGCTGAATGTATGAAATATTGGGGTTGATTTACTAAAACTGGAGCATGCAAAATCTGGTGCAGCTCTACATAGAAACCAATCAGCTTCCCGGTTTTTGTCAAAGCTTAATTGAACAAGCTTAAGGTAGAAGCTGATTGGTTTCTATGCAGAGCTGCACCAGATTTTGCCCTCTTCAGTTTAAGTAAATCAACCCAAAGTGTATATATAGCAATAAGAGGAAAAGTAGAAGGTTATGGCACATATGGTTTTCTGACAGTGGTCATCCTAGCTGTAGTTATTTAACATTTTGAAAGGTGATAGTTGCTTACTGGAGATAAGTAAACATTTAAAAATATGAACCATACGTTAAATGGGACAAATATAGTTTTCTGCATCATTCATTCCAGATTGGTTTTAATTGTTTTCAGCCCTTCAAAGATATGGTTGTGTATCATCAAAATGTTATGGCTAGCCATATACAGGCAGGTCTCTCACTGAAAATGATAGTGATTGTATACAGTATCTGCCAGTGCTGTTAGAATACATCAGGCCAGCGATTTTTCTCCAACTCAGATGATGTTATGTCAAGACATGATGATAGGACAGTTTCCTTCTCAATGACCAAAAAAATTATGCCCTTCCCCATTTCTTGGAAATATCAGATTGTGTATTCTCAAAGAAACCCTGTCGCAGACCATTTATTTTAACAAAAATATTTCCTTAAAGTTCTACATGCATTTAATGTATATCTTATACATGTTATTTACCCATAAAAGCCTCCCGTGGGGAGATATGAAAAACCCTCGATACTGCAATCTCGGTTGTGTTGTCAGAAGCTCCAGTAGACTCAGAGCTGTCATTTAAGTGTCATTCTATATTATCCCTGTAAGCTTTTTTCCCAGCAACTACATATTCATTAAGAAAGGAAAACACTGCAAGTAAGCATGTAACTACTTGATTTTGACAGGGTCTCTTCAGGAAAACGTAATTCGGATAACCAAATCCAAATTCTGTTTTTTTTACATATTTGTATAGTTATCACTTTCAAGTTGGAGAAGTGTAAGACAGGCACGTTTGTTTGAAACACTTGTTATAGTGGAATGTATACAGTACAACTGCTACAGGGAAATGTATGCAAAGCAATAGGGGTAGTGTATAGGATATAACAATTAGAATGATAAGAAAGGAGTTCTGTGTCATAATAAAAGGTTTATTGAATGTGGAGTATAAAACTCCTTTTTTTTTCCTAATATGAGCAGTTTCTGGTAATATAAGTAGCCATCAAGGGGTATATTCTCTTGTGTAATACTTGATAGACCACTCTTTACCTAACTGATAAAAGCAAACTTTAATTATTTTTATTTTCTTGAATATCACAAAAAAGTGACTGTTATGCATAAATCCACTCAGTGTGCACATGATTAGTTTTAACTGCTTTTCAATGTGCGGGATCTGAAAATATGTCAGTGTTGTTTTTTTTTTTTTTCCAGAATTAATTAATGCCATTATGTAAGTACCACAGAATGTGTTATCCACTTAACAGCATGTAGAAACTTGTCTTAATGTCATGTAAGCTGACCTTTGCTGAAGCTTTGTAATTGGGCCTTGTGTAAAAGCATCAGAAGAAAAGTCTGCATTGGAACCTTTCTCAACATGGGTTCCATGGAGCTCTAGGGTTCTTCCAGAGGTAGCTTGAGCTGTGGCTGACTGACCTCCTATTTAATAGTGCCTACAGAGGACCAGGGCCAATACCATTTGGCAACGCCAGCAGCAAGTCACAAACAATCTTTTTAGATATCTTTAAAGGTGCCATTCTGACCATCCCTGTAAGGGGAACATTCTTTCCTCTGGCCTCCAATGCAAGGGGAATTACCCATTGACCCCTAATGAACTGGGTTTAATGAGGTTTCCTAAGACCTGAAAATTAATAAAAGGATTCCTCTGGGGTAAAAAAGTCTGGGAAAGGTTGGCTTATTATCAATCAGAGTCACTGAAGCTGTTAATATAAAATGGTCTTTAGATACTTTTATACATAAGGCCCATTGCTCTGTGTAGAGTACATGAACTGTGTTTAACTTTTTTATTGAAAACAGTTGTTTTGTCACCATAGTCAAAAGTTGTTCATCCAGGTTAGTGCTTGCTTTTAGGAACTGACAGCGATTGTAATAATTTTTTTAAGTCTGAAATTTATTTTAAATATTGGTGTTTTGCAACTGCTGGGTTCTGGTGCTAGCTTTATTTTTTCATTCTAATTTAACGTAGTGTTCACTGTTTGGCCAAGCAGGAAAGAGCTTGAGTATTAGCTTCAGATGCTGTAATCCTAAAGCAAGCGCCCTAATTTATACTGGTAGAGAGAACCCAATGGTTTTCTGTCTGCCTTGACCCCTGCCTAAATCCCTTCTGCTGTAATGGTATTCCAGGGTGGAATTTATTATTGTCATTATAATAATATTGTATGGAGGGAGAACAATGTGTGCGAGTAGTGAAATGGGAGTGAATGTGGACACTGTGGAGTGCAGCAATTACAGTGATGTTATTGAAGTAATGGGATGATTTTCAACGGGTTATTTACAAAAAAGCAAAAAATTGCATTTTATGCATCACACTTATTTTCTGCTTGAATATGTTTGACAATCCTTGGAAAACCTGGTACATGCCTATTTGTCTTTGTTGAGCTTTATTAAAACATATACAGACATACCTCGGTTTGCGAATTTAATTCGTTCTGCGGTACTTTTCGTATTGCAAAAAATTGTAATCCGAAAAGCAGTTTCCCATAGGAATGCATTGAAAACCAATTAATCAGTTCCGGAGGTCAGATAAAAGTAAAGAAAAGTCTTTTATCTGTTAAAAACCCTTTATAATGTGCACTTTAAAGGCATAAAAACTGTACATGGACATGATTAAAAATTAATTCCTACATGCATTCAAAACCAATTAATCTGTTCCGGAGGTCAGAAAAAAGTCAAAAAAATTTGTATCTGTTCAAAACTCTTTATGAAGTGCACTATAAAGGCATAAAGGAACATGATTAAAAAAATTTGTAAATACATTGAAAATCAATTAATCCATTCCGGAGGTCAGAAAAAAGTAAAAAAAAAGTCTTATCTGTTCAAAAATCTTTATAAAGTGCACTTTAAAGGCATAGTACTGTACAGGGACATGATTAAAAAAAATTGTAAATGCATTGAAAACCACTTAATCCGTTCGTATTGCAAAAAAAATTCCTAAATCAAATTATTTTCAATGAATTTTTATTCGTAAACCGAAAATTACGTTAACCAAGGTGTTTGTAAACCGAGGTACGTCTGTATAAGAACCATACCATAATACAATTTGTAAAGTCTAGCCTCATATCACCTCTGCCTTCATTAAAGTCTAGATTCACTAAAAACAGGTGGGTAGAGGCCCTGCTTTTTATTAATTGGGACTTCAGCGTTAACATTTCCCAACTAGTTTCTAAGCTCACCTACCCTCCCATGTCTATGATTATCTTTTGTAGCACTACCACTAAAGGAGCTGCTTCAAATGTAGGGTT